CTTGAACAACACTACCACATGACATAAGCATCACAAAACTTAGCAAATCAACCCCATATGCACAACAAATCAACTATATGTGTCGTCACTTATTTCAACTAGGAGATCTCCTACAACACAAGTGATTAGTTTAAGTGACTTGACTCTATCGAATCAACAACAACGCAGTCTTTACAATCTAGCTAGATTAACACTCAATTTGGATAAAAATCCACATCATGATTTCTCGGATTTCATCACTTAAACTATGAAGTCTAATATTTCTATTAGAATATAATAACTTGGATGTGAACTTATCATGACATTATCTTGTATAACTAAGTCCATTATGGAATTAGCTTGCCAACTATCCTCTAAATACTACACCTTTCTAGTATTTAGTTAAGAATTTTGACTCTAACCTTGTACCTTACTTGGTTGACCACTTTGTACATGAATGCCTTGACCTTACCCACATACGGATCAACATTGGTTGTTTTATAATCAGTATAATTCAACTTAGCCTTATACTAGGGCCACTTATAGCCAGTATACCTCGACCTTGCATGCCCACATACTACATCGACTAAGGTCCTAAAGGAGAATCAACTATCCACTCCTAAATTCAACTACTAAAGAAGGTTTTTTAACAAATGGACTCATAAAGCATCACAATAATATCCTCACAATGAGATATCCAACTTTTAAAGCAATCTCTTCTCTAGTCCTAAGTCAATCAACTTAATACAACTCCATGCCTTAAGCATCCTTAACCTAACTACTTAATACTATATAACATACAACTCATGCTTTACTCCAATGATTTAATCAACTATATACATCAATGTATAAATAAATAATATCACACCACAACATACAACATATAAGTTCTCCTACTACTCATACAATGTTTAACACGTAATAAATTCAACTGACCTTTACATGTTTACCAATTTCTTAATCAAACAACAAATTTTCATAAGTTAAATCATGTTGGACGCCAATCTCCTCACATTTGGTGTCATTAAGGCATAAAGCTCTCAGGCTCGCCCACGCCTGACGTTACTCAATAGCACATGATGTGGATGAGACAAAAAGCCTATGTTTCTCTCACGTTTGGCGTGGCCAAACTCCACGTTTGACTTCATTTTAGCTAAAAAGTCTCTGCCTGACTTACACTTGATATCATTGAATTGGCGTCATGTGTTGTCTAAGCCAAGAGCCTCCGTCTAAACCACGTTTAACGTTTTTTCCACTAGGGTCTAACATCACTAAGTCAGAAACGATTCTCTCTTATCACACCTGATGTTTTACAAACCACATTCGACGTGACCAAGTCAAAAACGTTTCTCTTTCTCTCTCTCATGTCCAATGCCACCAGTTCTATGTCCGATTTGATCAAAATAGAGATCCCTGATTTAAGCCACGCCCAACACCATGAAGACGCGTCCAATGTAATGGTGATCTTCGCACATAGCATAATAACAAATTTTACCCATCTACATCTAAAACTCAGAGAAACCAACATGTAAAGGCATATATTACACATGTACAACCATTCTAACTCATTTCCAACCGAAGATACAACATGCAACAAGAATTTCACCATCATTTAACTCAACATATTCTCAAACATATTCAAACACCTAAAACCTGTCAACATACAAATTCCATCATTCAATCATAAACATAACCAAGTTTTGAATACAATCCAACAATCATACAACAACAAAATCAACTAAGATCCAAGTTCTAGCTTTCCTTACTTCAAAATCAAGCAGAAAAGAAGGAAAAGGAAGGAAGAACGAAAATGAGCTCCAAGTTAACTCCGAGAAGCTTTGAACAACCCGTGATTCTCAACTAAGGAGCTTGGATCACCACTCCTCCACCAAGTCTACACTAGGAGGGAGGAGGGAGGAAGAATAAGGGTCTTGGCTTTAGAGAGTTTTTCTCTAACTTCTCTCTAGATTTATTTAGGAAATAAGTTTATGAAACTCAAGTCTTAAATGAACCTTATATACCTTTTCCTATAGGTCAAACTAGACCTCTATTCAAAGCGACACTTCTAAATAACTAAAACTTATAAGGAATTCATTAATTCCATAGTTTCTCAACAATCAAAACAAAAAATCATTGCAATATATTTTTCAACTAAATTAATAATTAACAAAAATGTATAGTGTTACAATTTATCCCATTAAAAGATTGCATTATTAAAGTTTTAACAAAACAAAATTTTCATGTATAGGAATTAGAATAAGGGTGTGTTTGGTAAAGTTAGTTTATAAGCTAATTGAAAACTTATAAGTTAGCTGAAATAAACTATAAGTTAGGGGTTGAAAAACTGGAAGCTTATAAACTAACTTATTGAATTGAAAATGTTTAGCAAGATTAAATGATATAAGTTAACTGATTAATATAAAATGAAATTTAATAGTGAGAGTGAGATAATAATAAAACAATTTCTAATTAAAAATTTAAAAATAAATTCAAGTAAATAAATGAAAATATAAAAGGAAAGAGTAAAAAAAAGAAACTAAGAATTTATAAGTTATAAGCTACTTCAATTAGCTTATGGAGATAAACTATAAACTTATAAAATAAGTTCTCATAATAAACAAACTTATTTTGATCAATCTAACTTATAAATTAGTCAAAGAAATTTATAACTACTTTGAATAAGTGTGATTTTGTGAGCTACCATTCAACCAAAGTGTTTTTCTTTTATCATTATATCTTTTTTGATGTATCGTTCTCATATTTATTAAAAAAAAAATTCAACAATTTTTAAGAAGAGATTATCAATAGTTTAAAATAATCTTATAATATAAATATCACATATCTAAATATGATTCTTATGTTAAAAATATTTATCTATTACAAATTTTAATTTAATACAATTTATAGATTTAAAAGTATTTTTATTTTAAATTTTAATTATATAAAATAAATATACATCTTATAACTTGTACATACTAAAATGTGGTTGGAAAATAATTAATTGGGAAGAGAAATTCCACTTAAATAGTCAAATTCTCGGTAGAAATTAGTTATCACTTATCAATAAAGTTAGTAGATAATCTACACCAATTATATAATTAAATACTAAAATATTATTATATTAATAAATAAACTCATTGTCACCCTTTATCCAGTTATACTATTAAAATTTTAACTGCAAACAAATCATAATAAAACGAGCTATGCAGAAATTAACTAAAAGGTGCAGTACAATAAACTATTCTCCATAAATTTAGGTTTAGAAGTATGAAAAGTTGATATGAGAGAGGTACAGTATGAGTATGGAGTGGTGTGGGCAGCACACCAATCCAGAGAAAATGATGCAGATGTTCACTTCTTAAAGGGTACACGAGGGGACCCCCCCTCCCCAGCTTCTTTCAACAAGGTCCATGTTTCTGAATAATGCGACTATTAAAATATTAAAATTCCAAACCAACTCATTTTTCTTTTGGTGGACCCCTACCTCCTCACTTGTGTTTCATTACTATTTATGAAAAAATTTATCTGTGTATTTTATAATGTCATGAGTAAACCATTTAAAGGAAGATGCTGACCAGCATGCAGGAAAGAAAGATACTAATTGGAATCGGTATGTAGCTAGGTTTGAGTTACGTCATGCAAATATCCATAATCTCACCTATTATTGTTAATTGGTTACAAAGACAAAACTTGCTTATGCTATCTCTACGTACAAAGCTATACCCATACCATGATAATACAACCTACTTAATTGGAGAGGGGAAGGGGAAGAAAATCTCAAAAATAAAAATTGAATTTAACCTTCTAATATCCTTGCTTATACAACATTAGTTGGTAGCTCTATCATATACAAATTTTATGTTTGTACTTATTTAGTGAGCCCTGTGACTTTTTATTTATCCTTTCAATGCAAAGCCGCTTTCAATAAATAATAGAGCCTATTTAAGAATGATTGCTTTACTCCATATCCACTTAAAAAATCAAGTTGATATACACTAACGAGTTCAATCAAATATGGAATAAAAAATTTTAACTACACAAAAGCAAATCATGCAGTTTTAGGTTAAAAACGAGTACCTCCTTGTAAAGTGAAAAACATAAAACTTCATTTGCCCTTAATTCAAATTAGTTTCCGAGAACTTCAATGAAAATTAAGAATACAAATTTACTTTCCTGTTCTACCCACTTTCACTTTAAAACAACCAAATCTGATTAAGAAATTGAAAATGCAGGGCTTAGAATAAAAAGTGTAATGACTGTACAATAGCCCCACGGTACACAGACTTTTTGAACCCAAGAAAGGGTAATTGAATGTATGCACAGTTTAAACAGTAAAAGGCACTGTCCAGTACTGCAAACAATCTGAGATAATAAACATTGCACCATCGTTGCTAATAACGGTTTTCATCCTTTCTTTGTTGTCTTTTCAACGCTAAGAAAAAAAAGAAATTCTCAAAACTTATGTTCCTAAACAAAAGCAGGGGTAAAAAAAATATCTACATTCCCCTGTTGCCATCATCTGCTTCATAGGGAGACTGAATCTCTGAGGTCTGAACTGTTAAAAAAACTTTCATAACTCCTTTTAGCCACGTTTTGACCAACCCATCAAACGAGGTACCTTACCTCAGACAAAGTACAGTGCCATTAAACCACCAATTTAGGAAAAATGCTAGATCCTCCAAAATAACTTCCAAAAGTCGTTAAAAAATTAATTTAACTATCAAATATTAAATCAAATAATTATTTTATAATAAATTTATTGAATGGTGTCAACATTTTAAAGTTTTGTTTTGGAGGATATAACAATCCTTCCAATTTAATTCTTCCACTATTAGTACTTCTCTCGAATAATCCCTAAAATAACAAAACTATTTAAGAAAACCCTGAAATATTACATATTTATCAGTTGATGTATTTTAATGAAGTCCAAAGAACAATTTAAAGAGTTTTTTTTTTAATAAAATATTTAGAGAAATATTTGGCGTGATTTCTAATACTTTTAGGGATCATAGAAAAAGTAATACTTTAAGAAAGAAAATTGATGATTTAGATATACAAAACACTAAACTATCATCCCAAAATAACACTGATAGATAGATAGTTCAACCATAGAGAGAGGAAACAGAAAGGGCATGCAAAAGAGTGCCAAAGCTGAAGCATAGAGAAACCGTGTCTGGGTTGAAAAGCAAAAACAATACATACTATTGTCATGTTTCTTCCCACAAGGCCTAGAGAATGACTTTTACTGTTGGTGCTGTGGGGGGCCACCACGTTTTCATTGCCAAACAGCTAGCAGAAAAAGGAAAGTAGCCATGTTTAGTGTCAAAAACTAACATCTGAAGGGATCTGTGCAAAAATACTAATCATCCATATGGCTGAATTCTGATACAATAACTAACAAGTTGCTGAGAGAACCTTTTTACCAGACAACATCCCCACCACCCCAGCAGCGAGTACTTGCTGTGTTAACAATTATAGCCATGGATGGTAATTGGCAAGAGAGATATAATATAAATATATACATGCTTTGAGAGTGTTTCCTCGTGTTTCATGAGGAAGGAACCCACCTTTATCATTAGCAAAACCAAAAGACTCGGAATCATTTATGAAAAGCCAAAAAGTCAATGCTTATCCAATATTGTTCCTCAAAACCCAAAATACAATTAGAAACACGAGAAATGGAATAAATATAGTCCCACCCATCAGCGTCATATTATATTATCATGTTTGAAATCATCTTCAGAAACAGAATCCTATTCCCCACCTCATCTTTTATCCAAATTATTATCCTGTTATCACTCATCATGATAATCTAAGATCGCTCAAAATGGTTACAGTGAAAGTAATTTGGTCTCTCATAACCAAATTAATTTATAAGGGTTGATATTAGGCGAGATGTATAAAGAACACACATGGTCACTTGATGTGTGGACTGTGGATTGATTTAAACGATGTGTTGTCTTATTCCCTTCTCATACAGTAGATGAGGATACTTTTACTTATTTGCGACATATGAAAGAACAAGTATGACCAAGATCATACCATGGCATCATTGATTGCATAAGCCACACAGTAGTGCTCATGAAAATCAAAAGTAAGGAAGACAATAGGAACTCTCCACTATTGATGACAAAGCACGTTGCTAATTGTAGATCATGTAACCACCAATTGCTTGGATTCAGCTGGACTATTGGTTACATTATAAATTCTTAATTTACTTTTCTTCCCTGACCAATGAATCTTAAAAATAAGAAATAAGAACTAACAATTCACATCCCCACTTAAAACGAGAGATGATTAACTCTGGCCAAGAACCCCCACTCCCATAGAAAAATGAGTGTAACAAAATTCAGACACTTTTTCTAGCAAACAATTAACAACAGAACAAAAATAAAAAGTTGATTCGCCTGCATCACGTACTAGTGTACCACTCTTCAAATTCATCAAACTATTCCAACCGTTCAATCCTAAACAGTGAAGTATCACCACTTAGTATCTTTTGACAAAATTTACAAAAGAAACAGGCCACCAACCATAAAGTAGGTAGAAAAAGTAGAGGAGATGGAGATTCAGGGAAAAAAGAATTGCCTTTCATATGAAGATATAAATTTTAGTATCATATAGAAATCAAACAGTTCCATCATATGACAATCATAAGATTGATAAAACATAGTACCTTCTACAGATTAAAATGCTAATAGGAATGTAAACCAGGCAAAAGACTTCCATAAAAGAGTTGCTAAGAAATTGAAGCACCAAGAAAAATGCTTAATTAGGCAGATCAGATGGGGGATCAATACTCTTTACATTATTCTATATCAAATTTTAACGATCTAATTGTTGAATTAAAAGTTTTTAATGCATATATCAACTCTGTAAAATTTTAAAAAAATTAAATATTATTTAATACTCTATTTCTTTAATTTAAATTGATAGATAATTATAAAAATATTTTGTACATTAATTTGAATTAATAAAATAAAATATCAAATATTTTTCAAACTTTTAAAAGTTTGCAGACTGAATTTATGTATTAAAAACTTTTAATTCAATGATTTTTTAAGAAAGTGACTTGTAAGGTAAGAGAGGATTGTTTCCCATTTATATATACTATTATGATCTTATTCTTAGTTGATATAGAATCTCCAACACACACCCCTCACGTCAAAAACTAGACATCTCAAGTATGAAGTTTGTAGGACTGAGAATCTATGGATGGTCTATAATGGTCCAATAGTAGGTGACATGATAAGCCTACTAACAAATTGCTACGATATAAACTTAGATATGTTCTGATACCATCTTAAGAAAGTAGGTTAAGAGTTTAACTCAATTTTACAAAATAAACATATAAGATGAGAATTGCTCCCCATTTATATATATTATTATGACTTTATTTTTAGTCGATGTGAGATCTCTAACACAATTGAATCGTTAAAATTTATATAAAATGTGGGTTGTTGAATGAAATAAGTCTAAGTAGTCTTACTATTGGAGTAAGTGAATCGTCTCTCTCTCTCTCTCTCTCTCTCTCTCTCTCTCTATATATATATATATATAT